TTTTTCTTTGTAAAAATACCTTTAAAATTGTTTGATATTAATACAAAATAATTGCAGTTTGACAATGTGCAATTTTAAAATTGAGTTAATATTCCAAAAGATTACTTAACTATAAGAATTTATCTAGTGAAATTATTGAATTTTGTTTGACCAAGTCATCACCACCAATAAGTTTGAAGCTTTGGGGGACACAGAATCTGTACCAAAGGAAGGAGAGCATAAAAATGGGGAAGAATTGCCTACCAAGGAAGACACAACACGTGAGAATATGGGTCAGGATGAGACAGCTGTAGCAAACAATGAAAAAATCAAAATTCCTGTGATTTCTAAATCAAAAGACAGTCATGCAGATGCTTATAGTGGAGTGAAAGATTCAGCTAACAGAGATATTAGAGCCCTGAGCTCAGCGCCATCTTCTGTGCAGATTTTAGAAAATGAAGGGGGAATAAATCAAATGTCTGAGGTGAGAAAGAAAAATGACGATGAAGGGCCACACACTGGACAAGATGAGGGACACAGTCAGACAGGGGAGTCAGATACACACAACTGAGTACAAGAGATATTAAAAGCACCAGTTATAGATAAGTTGACAGAACAAGAAAAGACGAAGAAAAAGGACACAGAAGACGATGAATGCATGCAAAGGAACATCGAAAGTATAGGACGAGAAGGGGACTTGTCACCAAGGCAAATTAATCAGTTACAGGGGAAGAACAAGAAAGGGGAGAAACTACAAACACAATCACAAATTAATACAAGGAGCAAGAAGGGGTCCACATCCACCATTAACCAATGATTAATAAAGTACTTTTCTGAAATATTAGATCGGTAAGAACTCAAAAATCTTTTGAGAGACTTATTGACCTACATAAGAGGAATCACTACTCATACATTGCTCTGTTAGAGCCTTTTCAAAATCCAGCACATCTCGAGCGGTACAGAATCAAATTGGGAATGCCCAAAGCAAAGGTGAGCAGCTCAGCGAAAATATGGATCTTCTGGGAGGATGATTGGGAAGAACAAGATTATAATGATACTGGTCAACAACTCACGGTCAATTTTAAAAAAAGGGGAACCAACGATATTTTCAGTGTTACAGCAATATATGCAAGATGCAGTGCATTAGAAAGATTTGAATTGTGGGAATCACTAGAGGATATAGCAGGCAGCATGCAAAAACCATGGTTGGTTGGGGGAGATTTCAACACAATTAGAAATGATTCAGAAAAATTGGGCGGATTACCAGTAACTCAGATGGAAACCATAGACTTCAACCAATGTATCAGCTCATGTGCTCTAAATGAATTTAGTTTCAAGGGAAGTTCATATACTTGGTGGAATGGAAGAGTAGAGACAGAATGCATTTTTGAGAGACTAGACATGGTATTTGGGAATGAGGAGTTCATGAGTCTACTACCTAACAGTGAAGTTCAACATTTGATTAGACAAGGATCAGATCATGCACCACTACATGTAGTATGCAACACTTCACAGGAACATGTTATGAAACCTTTTAGGTTTCTAAACTTTTGGACAAAGCATGAGAATTTTAAAAAGTTAATTTCTGATGTATGGCAGGAGGGAGAAATTACTGGCAATCCTTTTACAGTGGTGCACAGTAAGATGAAAAGAGTAAAAATGGAGTTAGCTAAATGGAGTAAGAAAACATTTGGGAATGTTTTTCAGCAAATAGCTACTTTAGAAGATGTGATCAAAACGAAGGAGATTCAATTGGAGATGGCACCTACAGAGAGCAACAGGGCAGAACTTCACAAGGCAGAGGCAGACATTAAAAGATATAAGCATATAGAAGAAGAATATTGGAAACAAAAAGCAGGAATGCAATGGTTCAAGGATGGATATAGAAATACAAAGTTCTTTCATGCTTATGTAAAAGGAAGAAGAAGAAAGATGCAAATAAATGCAATTCAGACAAGGGAAGAAGACATGATTACAACAACTCAAAATATTGGAGAAGAAGCTGTCAATGTTTACAAGAAACAGTTCATGGAGGATCAAGAGGTCAGTGATTACAGTATGCTAACACACATTCCTCCTATTATTACAGAGGAGCAAAATGAAATTATGGTGAGAATACCCACTAATGAAGAAGTCAAAAAAGTGGTATTTGCTCATAATGGAGATAGTGCTAGTGGTCCAGATGATTTCTCAGGTATGTTTTTTCAGAGTTGTTGGGATATTGTAGGGGAGGATGTGACCAACATGGTAAAGGTATTTTTTTATGGGCAAGAACTGCCCAGGTATATCACACACACCAACCTGGTTCTCATTCCTAAAAGGAGTTGGTAAGCACTTTTGGAGATCTCAGGCCTATAAGTCTTAGCACCTTTGCAAATAAGATCATTTCAAGAGTTGTACATGAAAGAATAGCCACTGTACTACCTAGTTTGATATCCAAAAATCAGACAGGTTTTGTCAAAGGGTGAAACATTACTGAGAATGTACTGTTGGCACAGGAGATAATTAGAGACATCAACAGAAGAAACAAATATCATAATGTTGTGGTGAAACTGGATATGGCCAAGGCCTATGACAGGGTTTCATGGAAATTTTTGGTGAGAGTAATGAGAAACTTTGGTTTTGCAGAAAGAATCATAGACATGATAGTGAGGCTCATTAGCAATAACTGGTACTCAGTATTGATGAATGGACAGTCTTTTGGTTTCTTTCAATCTACTAGAGGACTAAAGCAGGGAGACCCTTTATCACCTACACTTTTCATTATTGCAGCAGAGGTTTTGTCAAGGGGTTTAAACAGTCTGTTTGAAGATCCTGATTATATAGGATATGGGATGCCTAAATGGAGCCCAGTAGTAAGTCATCTCTCTTATGCAGATGATACCATCCTATTTTGCTCAGGACAAACTACATCTATGAGGAAAATGATCAACATTCTTAGAGGGTACGAAAAGGTGTCAGGGCAAATGATAAACTTGGACAAGAGCATGATATATTTACATAAGCAAGTGCCTAACAGAGTGTGTAATCTGGTAAAGAGGATAACAGGAATCAGGCAAGGATCTTTCCCATTCACATATTTGGGTTGTCCAATTTTTTATGGAAGAAAGAATAAAGGTCATTTTGAGAACTTGTTGAAGAAAGTTTCAAACAGAATGAACACTTGGCAAAATAAGCTCATGTCTTTTGGAGAAAGGTATATTCTAATTGCTCATGTTTTACAGTCAATACCAGTCTATTTGTTAGCTGCTATGAACCCTCCTAAAAGCATAATAGACCAGTTGCACAAGTTATTTGCAATTTTCTTTTGGAGTAATTCATCAGGAGCTAGGAATAAGCACTGGGTGGCATGGGATAAGATGTGTTATCCAAAAGTGGAAGGAGGACTAGGCTTCAGGTCATTACATGATGTCTCAAAAGCTTTTTTTGCAAAGCTTTGGTGGAACTTCAGAACTGATACATCATCTTTATGGGCATCATTCATGTGGAACAAGTATTGTAAGAAAATGCATCCTACAGTGGCTAGAGGGCAAGGTGCTTCTCATGTTTGGAGAAAAATGATCACAGTCAGAGAAGAGGTAGAACATAACATCTGGTGGCAAATAAAAGCAGGCAACTCAAGCTTTTGGTTTGATAATTGGACTAAACAAGGGGCACTATGGTATGTGGAGGAGAACAATGCAGTGGAAGAGAAAATAGAGGTCAAATATTTCACTCATCAAGGGGCTTGGGATAGGGAGAAACTTCTTAATAAGATATCAGAAGAGATGACTGATTACATAATGGAGTCCATTAAGCCTCCATTGGAGGAATATATCAATGATGTAGCATGGTGGATGGGGAGTACTCAAGGCATTTTCACAGTTAAATCAGCTTGGGAACTAATGAGACATAAACAGGAAAGAAGGACAGATTATCAATTGATATGGACTAAAGATGTGCCTTTTAAGATGAATTTTTTCTTATGGAGACTCTGGAAAAGAAGAATTGCAACTGATGACAATCTGAAGAGGATGAAAATTCAGATAGTGTCTAGATGTTGGTGCTGTTCTGAAACAGAAGAGGAGACAATGACACATATTTTTCTAACAGCCCCCATAGCCAATAGGCTATGGAGGCAGTTTTCTAATTTTGCAGGTATACAAATTGAGAGCATGCACTTACAACAACTCATAATAAATTGGTGGAAGCATAGTGATAATGCCAAACTCAAGGTGGTGATGAGAGCAATGCCAACAATTATAATGTGGACACTATGGAAAAGGAGGAATAACTTTAAGCATAGAGGAACTACCACATACAGTGAAGTGGTGATGCAAGTGCAAGAAGAGGTGAGGAAACTACATAAAGTTGAAATATCCTTGGATACATATCAGAAAGGAAACATGGCCTCAAATCATCATAAAGCTGAAGGAATATAAACCTAAATACATCACCATTATGTTCAATGGAAGAAACCTGGAAGAAACAAAGTTAAATGCAACACAGATGGGGCAGCAAGAGGAAATTCAGGTGCTAGTTCTACAAGTTTTGTAGTGAGGGACGAGGAAGGAGACCTTATATATGCAAGGGCAAAAGGAATAGGAATAGCAACAAACATGGAAGCAGAGGCGCTTGCTCTGCTAGAAGCAGTTTGGTACTGTCAAGAGAAGGATCTAAAAGAACCCATAATCGAAACTGACTCTTTAGTTCTCAAAAAAATGGTGGATAATCAGTGGAAGATACCGTGGGAATTGGTAGAAAGAATATAGGAGATTAGAAGGGTGATACGAAGTATAAATGCATCAATCACTCACATTTTCAGAGAAGGGAACTGCGTGGCAGATTCATTGGTCAATGAAGTAGTAGAGTCTCAAGAAACTAAGTGTTATTATCTATTTCAGGAGCTACCAAGCATAACAAGGAAGCATCTAAACATGGATAAATCGCAGATACCAAACATAAGGATGAAAACTCGCAAAATCAGCACACAGTGATATAGTAGAGACGGAGCAACTAAGCAATCACCTCAACAACAGTCATAACAACAATTCAACATTTATGCGAGGAATCAGAAGGTACAGTAATTTTATAGCAGAATACTTCACACATGTACAAAGTCATAGTAGAATTAGATGTCCTAGCTAGTTTGGGTCATCAGAGAAGTTGGTCGAAGGTAATACCCGAAATAATCGTCAAACAAGTGGCGTCATATCCGGACAGAAATGAAGAACATCTGCGGTCACTTGGATTTCCAATAGCCACCTGAAAAGAAAAATGAATCAGCAGCTCAAAGATTGAAGAAGACAGAGGAGACAGTGAAGAGGCTTACCAAATTTTGAAGAGGCGAGTAAAGAGAGGAAGGGTTTGGAGATTTTTGGAAATAGACAAAGAGCAGATAATTGTAGATTTGGAATCTTGTCTCATTATTTTATTTGGATCGATCCATTTATGGATGAGGTCATTTTTCATTTTAGCTTTTTTGTATAGAGTGAGCTTTGGCTCTTATTTAATAAAATGATCTACGGATCAAAAATTTGATTTAAAAAAAAAAAAAGTTGGGTGATTTTATTAATATAAAGGTCTAAGTTGAATGATTTAATTATAGAAAAGGGTCAAAATTGCACCCCCCTCCCCCCGAACTATATGAAATAGACCATTTATACCCTCCGTAATATTTTGGGATAAAAAACGCCCCTACTGTTATTTCAAGAGATTAGAAATACCTTCAAGATTTAACAATCCAAATTTTTAATAATGAAGCAAGTCATGTAGGACTAATCCATAACGTTGTCAACTGGGAATCTCATAAATTATGGATCATTTAGTTAGCACTATATTATTGAAGTTAATAATGGAAACTTATGGACAATTCTAACATTCGGAATAGATCAAAAAACCAATAGATTATTTTAAGAAATTAAGAATTATTAATATTACTACATATAATAGTCAGTGTTTTCAAAAATGTTTTTGGGACGAGTTCCAGAAGAGTCTTTTGAGGAGGGGAGTATCAAAAACGCTTCGGGGGCAAATTGAAAGCGTAGATCCATAAGGCGTAAGTTCTAGAATTTGGGTTGTAAGTTCTGAACGTAAAAACATAAGTCGTGGGCATAAAAATGTACGCCCAGGACGTTTATTTTATTTTATTTTATTTTTGAACCATTTTTGTTATAAATCGTATTTTTTATTGTTTTGTAATGATATTTATATTTTATTCTATCATGTATTTTCATGTTGTAGTGATATTTTCTAAAAAAAATATGTATAAATAAACTCTAATAGAAAATAACATTGCTATAAATATTTTTTAGATAAGCATGTTTGAAATTGATAGGATAGAGTTCCATAGCACACTATGCTTATGATATAACTTTATTCATTTTTTCCATTACTTTACATTGTTCATCCTCCTTCTTTAAAATATATAAACAATAAGCCGTGCAAATATTAATTGAAGGTGGAAAGGACTAGTAAATACAAAAATGGATGGTGATTTCATTTCAAAGATTATTTTGTCTATTGTCATTTTCTGTGTTGTTAATTGTTATCTTTCTCAAATAGTAATTTCAATACTTTTTTTTATATTATTGATTATTAATGTATTTCTCAAATAATAATTATAATGCATTTTTCTATTTTATTGGTTATTTATTAAAATTTATTTATAAAATCATTAAAAAATTTACTTTGGCTTATTTTCTTAGTAATAAAATTATAAAATTGAATATACATGAAATGTACACCCCATAGATTCATGGGACTTACTCCCCGTGTCTCGGGGCTTATGCCTCGCCTGTACTACATAAAATGTATGGCCTTACGGCCCCGCCTTTTAAAACACTGATAATAGCTTCCAAATTAGTGACCCATAATTTAGTGGGAATCCTAGTTGGCAATGCTTAGGTAGAAGGATTAGTTCCACGTGGCTTGCTAAATGGGTTGTTACCTCTTAAGGGCATTTGTGGTCTATTGGAATAACGACGGGGGCATTTTTTGTCCCAAAATGTAACAGAGGGTATAAATACTCTATTTCGCATAGTTCAGGAGCAATTTTAATTATTTATAGTTTTATTAATGCAAAATAAAATTTAATGACTTTACTAGATAAATTTGGAAAATTGAGTGACCTTTTGAGATATTAACTCAATCTTCGAATGAAACAATTGTCAAATTGCAATTATTTTGTATTAATATTAAATAGTTTTAAAGTTATTTTTACGAAGGAAAAAATGGAAATAAGTGTAGTATTACCAAACTAAATAGGACTTTAACGTTACAAACTTAAACTTGGATTATTATTTTATTTTAAAAAAAAAAAATTAAAATTAAAATTGTCCTTCATTATCAATTAAGGGAAAATCAATCTCCTTTTTTAAATTCTTATCATTTATGTTAATTTTGTACTTTAAAAAGAAGTACGCTTACTACAATGTACTATCAATAATTACAAGTTCCTATAAATATCAGTCTCCTTTTTTTTCTTATATAAATCTCCTCAATTCCACGTACAAAAATCAAGAATTAGGGAAAAAAAAAAAAAAAAAAAGAGATGAACAACGACGGTCACATGCATGGAATGGCTATGGGGCCGCCTCCACCATCATCGTCAACAACGCCACTGGAGGAGGCGGGTATTAAATTTTACTTTTCTTTTACTTTATGATTTGTATTAAAAATAGAATATATTTTCTTACTATTCGAGAATATTTACTTTCCTTTCAAATCTAGTATCTATAGTAATTGCAAAAATGTATTTTTAATTTTTTTTAAAAATAAATTAGAATCTATTATAAGTAAAAATAACATTTTTTTTAAACAAAAAAATATTTCATTTAAATCTCCATGAATAATGATGTAATCTTTTATTTCGATTCAATCCAATGAACAATATTAAAATGTCCTTTAATCTTCTGATTTTAAACATTTCATACAGCGGGATGATGATGAAGAACCACCATCACATGATGCATATGACATTTTTCTGGGGAAAGAATACTGAGATTCTCTTCTCAGGTTGGCCTGGATATGATAATTTGGGCATGTACATCTTGGCACTTGTTGTTGTCTTTTTCATAGCGGTTTTCGTTGAATTTCTCTCTCATAGCAACTATATTAACAAGAGTAATGTTGATGATCATGTGACTTCTGGACTTCTTCAGACAGCCTTGTATGGTTTGAGAATTGGTTTGGCTTATGTTGTTATGTTGGCTGTTATGTCTTTTAATGGTGGTGTTTTCTTAGTTGCTATTGTTGGACACTCTTTAGGGTTTATGATTTTTGGAAGTAGGGTTTTTAAGAAATCGTCTAGTGAGAAGAACTTGGATCTTCCTCCTATGAGTTGTAGTTGTTGATTAATTTAATTTGTAATAGCATGTACTTGCAAATATTTATTTACAAAAGAAAATTACATATATGTAATTTATCATTGCAACGCATTTGAATAACCTTACATATATATCATGAACTATTGTTTGCTCATTCAATTTGGTGAAATTAAATAAAATTTAGTTTTCACAAATTGTGATATATATTCATCATGTTTATAAGAAGAAGAAAAAAGTACCTACTTTCAAAATCAAAATAGTATATTCAAACAAAATTTCAACGTCAAATCAACCTTTACTTAAATTTATTGTTTCAAAACTATGATTTAAAGTTCATATCCAATGCCTACTAGTATATATGTGTAAACAATTTTTTTGTCACAATTCTTCTCTCTTTGAGGTAGTTTTTGAGGTGTAAGTTATATTCAAGACTTAATTTAATATGATATTAGAGTCGGATTCAATGTTTCTATCAAGACGAACTTATTAGATAAGAATGAAAAAGTACTTATCAGTTCATCATATTCTTCAGCAATTTTGCATTTTCATTTATATGCGTCTCTAATGCTTTCTATTATGTGGCCGGTCCCATTTTTTTTAATCCTTCCCTAGAAGTTTACTATATTTTTGCTTTTTTTGGTAATTTAAATTCATAACATTTTGATTGAATGAAAGAATATTTATTATCCGAATAACTCTTTCACGTTATGTGGTTCATATTTTTTTCCATTCAAACCAAATACATTTCTTAACTAAATCAAAGAAAGTTGGCACGAAACTTAAAAGTCAGTTATGGACAACAATATTACGTCCAAGATTTGAGTTTCTTTCTATTGGCTATCATGTCATGATCAATGTGTCATTACAGAATTCTCTATGGGACAGAGGCTGAGCCAAAATATTTAGTTTATCAGATTCAAATCACAATTATTTTTTCTTTATTAGATTCTAAATAAAGTATTTATATATATTTACAAATATAGGAATTGAGCTAAAAGTATTGAGTTCTATCGAATTCGTAACTCTAAGGCTGGATCCGCCCCAGCTCCGGGACACCTAAATGTTGAGAAAGTCTTTTTCATAGAATTACTTGATCACCATATGTTATTGACTAATATGGATCTCCCTATAATGTTTCAAAAAATATTTTAAGTCCCTATAATGTTTCAAAAAATATTTTAAGTCACAAATTCATGTGTGCGCTTCCATTGTGCATCACAGCAGGGAAGTTCTAAGGTATAAGATTTATTTATTACTCTCATCTTTATCTAATTGTGTGTATATTGTTTGTGTTTGAGACGTGTACTTCTTCTGTCCCAATTTAGGTGACACAATTGACATTTCAGGATTCAAACTTGTAAACTTTGATCATGAATTCAAACATAGAAATTTTAAGTTTTTGCAATACAACTTATATAGTTGAAAACTATGAAAAAAAATGTATTATAAATCATAATAAGTAACAACTTAAAATATTTGAAAAAACATGTAAGAAAATTTCGGTCAAAGAATAATTTTATTGACTCTAAATATTCAAATTAGATTAGAAGAACAGAAATATATAGAAAAACGACGATAATTTAACAAGCAAGTCGTTGTAGTATAGTGGTAAGTATTCCCGCCTGTCACGCGGGTGACCCGGGTTCGATCCCCGGCAGCGGCGTTTCACTTTTTTTAATATTAATTCTGCAATTTTGTTTGTTTCTAAAATTAGCCTAGGTTAGATCAATTATAATTTATTTTTCTTTCAAATAAATGGACTTGGTTATTTTGAATTAACAAAAACTTATTTTTTTTAAAAAAGTTGTGGTTTCAATCTTTTATTTTTTATTTTTGTTTGTATTATTATTTACTTGCAAAATTAATTTTTTTTATGGAAATTTTGCGGAAGTAATTAAGCAATAAAAAAAGGGGTGGGGTGGGGAGGAAGACTACTCCGATCTTCCGTTGTTTCTTCTCCGGTGTGATTTCACCGAGCAGCGACATATTTGTGTATTATCAGCAAGTATACGTTCTGGCTATTGTTTGTATAATTTCAGCATTATCGAGATATTGGTATAAATTGTTTTGCATATTTCTTGTGATTTGTATTTCTATCAATGCATTTCACATTATGTAGTATA